CCTGGGTTCCCCGCCCGCCGCGTCCCCCTCCCGGGCCCCGCCGCACCGTATCCGCCCGGCCGTGGGGTACTTCGTGCGACCTTCCCCCCTCCCTGAGCCCCGACGTCACGGCCGCGTAACGTCACGGCCGCTCTCTGCGACGTCACACAGCCACACGCTCTGGGGAAGGGGATCGCTGGCAAACGAGCACCGTGGCGTCGGGATTCACCGACCCGGATGTAGCTTCTCCGGTTTGCTAAAGGGAACCAGGGCGGAGGTTGGGGAAGAGCAATGCGCTGCAGATGCCCCATCGCTCGGAGAGACAAATCGCTGTCCCCAGGGTGGGAAAACTCCCCACGACCAACTTGCTGCCAGTCCCCGGCTGAGAAAACAAAGGACAGAAACGGGCATAACTGACCACGGGAGCGCGTGTGCGCAGCCCATGCACCCCACGCTTCCACGGGCCTTTGGGCAAAGCCCTGTTGGAGGCTCCTCCACAGTACGTGCCCTGGCCAGGGCACTCAGAAGCAGCTGGGGAGGAATAGGGGGGTATACAGGGACACCATGGGATGAATGCCTATGTGCTAATGTGCTTATTAGGGGCTTGCTGCAGAACATGCAGCTCCAATTATTGCCATGCCCAGCTGAACTGTTTATGACCTGGAAGTATTGTTATAATTACATTACAGCACAAGGAGCTGAGAAAGTGACAGGCTCGATCAAAAACAAGCTCTGGAGTGCTCCTGTTCACTCCAGTGAAATGGGAAGGTGATCCCAACTGTTTGCAGCCTCATGAAGTATTTGCCCTGGTGTGTTCCCATTCCCCTCCCAGCCCCTCTGGAACTGCAGGGGTGATCCCCTCCGGCAGGGCAGGGCTGGCTCTGGTCCCCAGCTCCCAAGGAGAGACACGTATGGGGCACAGCAGGTTTCTGTGTGCCCTGCAGGCTGAGGCAGCCCCTGGAGCAGGATCAGCCCATGCACTGGCAGGGCACAGAGCAGGTGGCCTTGGAAGACCCTCCCCTCCTGCCTCCCCGCCATGGTGGGATGGGTGCTCATTCCCTGCGTAGTGGCTCAGAAGGAACCAGGGCAACAGTAATCTTCCCCCGTGTCTTCTGATGATAGTGTCACTTAAGCATGGGCTCGGGGGATCATTGTCTGCACTTGCAGAATATGTGCCTGTCCTCCAGGACATCAGTGGTCCCCAGGAGTGGTGGGAGTGCGTGTTGCCTGCCAACCTGCCTGCCCAGGGCTGGGCAGGGCACGAGCAGCTGGGGCAGCAGGTTGCTGAGGACCTGGCAGATCCCACACCCACACCCAGAATAAATGACAGCAACAAGAGCCGAGGGCAGAAATCAGCATTTGGAAAGCGGCTCTGGAAAAAACCAAAAGTCTGTGCGGGGCAGGCGCTGCCAAGCGCGGTGAGGCAGCGGCAGGAGCAGTTGGCACCACGGTGCCTTACAAGCCTCTAAAGCAGTGAGATCTCCCAAATCATCACATGTAAATCTCACACACGCCCGCCCCCTCCATATTTTATTACTTAGATCACAGTTGAAAAGCTTAAATGAAAACAGGGTTTCTATTTCCAGAGCTTGTTTAACATCGTGAATGTGATACAAACTGTGGGCTTCATGTTTTTAATTAAGGTTACTTACACGGCCATGCACGGAAAAGTAAGTCAATAGCTGCTGGCTGCATACCGCGGCCCGCAGCTGGCTCCCCTGAGGATGGTGCAGCGCCGACCGATGCGAGCACCGGAGCTACCACGCATCCTGCAGTGGGGCAGGGACCTGGGGTGCAGGGGGAGTTGGGGCACCTGGGGCTGAGGCTGCAAGAAGCTCCTTGCTGGTCCTTGCAGCACCCCTCTTGCAACACACCCTTGCCTGCGTGCCCAGCCTCCGAGAGCTGGCAGGCTGGGCTGGCATGCCAGAAAGTGGCAGCAAGGCACCTTTCCAACGGATATCGTGCAGAAAGAGCCTAAAAGTGGTGCTCTGGGGCGTAATCTGTCTCACTGGAGGAGCCAGGAAAAAATCAACCGTGCTGTCAGGCTGAGAAGAGAATTTGCTCCCGAGGCTGCGGGCGATGTAGCTCCCCAGTGCCAGCCCCACTAGAGCCAGCAGAGGGGCTGCAGCCCCAGTCCGACTGCCCGTGGAGCCATGGAGGCAGGCTAGAGTGGTGCTCTGCCCGCTACCCTCTTTCCCGGCTGGGAGCAGGGAGAAATCCAAAACCAGTTTGGTAGAGCCCTGTCTACACTCCTAAATGCAGTCCTCGTTTCTGGTTTGCACTCCCAGCAAAATGTTGCTTCTGTCCCCTCCTTCATGCTCTGGTTATTTTTTAAATGCTTTCAGCAAACATTTCCTTGGCGTTGCATTCTCACAGCTCCCCCCTCCAGCTGCGGATTCTTTCACAGTAAACATATATGTTTGAAATTCAAAGAATTTCCTCACGTCCCTGGTACACTCTGCGCTATGGCATGCTGGGTGGATAAATACCTACGGCCACGTATGTCGAAGAGCCTGAGAAGTCGGATAGGTGAGAAATTGTTTAGGATTATCCAAAATGAGGTTTTATCTACACTGCAAAATAGCCACACTTGCAAGGGACAGCAGCTGCGGAGACCTGTTGCCGTCCATGGCAGAAGCCGGGTCAGCACTGAGCAAAATCCTGAGGCACACGTAGGTGAGGAAGAACCTGCCTGACCAAGTTGGCTGGAACGGTGCCTCAAGGGGTTTGCTCTGCTTCTGCGGACAGCTGGAGCCTGGCAGATCCACATCCTCAGCGGGGGCTCTTTCTGCTCAGCCTGGCAGCCCCCAAAGCACCGGGGTAAAACAAAGTAGGGTGAAGTTAAATCTCGTAACATGGAGTTTTGCTAAATTTAATCCTAAGGAAGGAAGAAGAACTGTCCACAGTATACATATAGCTGTGGAGAAATGAGCTTTGGAAGGTTTCTCAACAGCAGTGAAGGAGCACTGAAAAGATAAAATGTTTGCTTATTTCTCTTCTTCATGGGTATTTGGTTTGGAATTGGTAAGAGGATGTGCCAACGTGGAAACACGTATGCAGGAAGCAAATACACCAACATCATCGTGTGCCCATCCCTAAAGCAGCTTTGCTGGTGGTGCTGCAGCAGGCAATACTGTCACACCACAGGGCCAAAGACTGCGGGGAGCAAGAGGGGCAACAACAGCAAGAAGGTGAAGTGGGGAGGTTGTCAAGAGGACATCGTGAAGCTTGGCAGATGTGACCATTAACCAAACCCTGGTTTCACTTCCAGGTCCAGCAAGACTAGACTGAGACAAAATTATAGACTGTAGCCCCAGTGAAGCACTCAGCGTAACTCATGTTTCCTTATCATTGACATCCAGGAAAGCTGTTCATTAAGGCAGCTCGTCTGCTGTCTGCAGGCCACTGAATGCGGCAGAAAGGTGGAACAGGCTTCGTGTGATGAGAAAACTGACACTGAGAACTGCACCAGACTCTGTACAAATGTGGGAGAGGACTTTGTGTGAAGGTCCAGTTCTTGCCATCCACAAATCTACAGGAGGGGTTGTGTGCAGTTTGTGTTTAGTAAAGAGAAGACTGAGGGCACAAGCTGGGTTGTAGAGCTGAGTTATGTGCTACAACACATAATATTTTGTCATCTGGCTTCTAGCTTAGCTCAGCGGTGAAACCCAGAGCTTGAGTTGTGGCATGGCACAGGCAGAGGTCAACCATGAGGCTGTGCCTTGAACCCGGGCTTACACCCGGCTGTCAGGCGGGGGGGCACCAAGGCCCCTCTGGAGGCAGGGAGTTGGGCTAGCGAACGTGGGGAGGGAGCAGGCATCTCTTTGGGAGCTGCAGCAGGCAGTGCTGTCCCCTGTTTCTGCTAAGAAGCAAGGGGCCCTGTGGGATGGCGTCCCTGGTGACAGCCTCAAACTCCGGAAAAAGCACTGGAGTTAGTGGCAGCAAAAGCCCCAGACAAACTACAGACCAAAAAAACCCCAACCCAACCCATAGCTGTTGCTTCTTCTAGGAAGCGACTGGAGGACCCAGTTCTGTTCTGCATTTTCTTAATTTGCTTTGTCCTAAGAATTAATAAACAAAAATGTAACAGGATCTCCAAAGAAGGACTAGATCCCAGTTCTTTCTACTTCCACATGAACCCCTCCAAAGAGTTAGAAAAACATGCTTCTGACTGTGGCTCAGGGGCTTTATTTTTTCTCACCACTCTGTTCCACAACCATTTTTTATTGCATTTTTTATATTTGCATCTCCTGGGCCACGTAAAACAAAGCACCTTCCATAGGGCCTCTGCCACACTTCAGCTGCTGCGTGCAGTGGACACGGGGAGGAGGAGGAGGGCTGTGGTGTTTGCTGGAGCTGTGTTTTCCCAGCGCCCTTTCACCGAAGCTCTGTTGGGGCTCTGTCAGCAGCCATGAGGGCAAAAGGGCTCCTGAGATGTGCCAGGTGCTTTTCCTGGGAATGACAATGCTGTGTAACGCAATGTTACAGTCTTTTTTCAGTGGCGCCCAGTGATAGGACGAGGGGTAATGGGCATAAACTTGAACATAGGAAGTTCCATCTTAACATGAGAAGGAACTTCTTTACTTTGAGGGTAGTGGAGCACTGGCACAGGCTGCCCAGAGAGGTGGTGGAGTCTCCCACTCTGGAGACATTCAAAACCCGCCTGGACGCTGTCCTGTGCAACCTGCTGTAGGTGACCCTGCTCTGGCAGGGGGGTTGGACTAGATGATCTCCAGAGGTCCCTTCCAACCCTGCTCATTCTGTGATTCTGTGATTCTGTGAATGTTTATTAGGGGGAAACGTGGTTAGCGGGAGAAGCTCTGCAATTTGGTCTGGGACAGTCAGTGCCCAAGATTGGGCCTCTTGGTTATGAAGCTTCTTTCACGTGCATGAGCCGTTCTCCATTTCGTGCTCTTAGGACTCAGGTGGGATCTGGGTTTGCCCCACAGGAGAACCCACTCATGGCTCTCGTGGCCCACCTGGTTGCTTCGGTCCTCTGCCCTCCGTGGAGTAAAGCTGTGTGGGTTGCTCCAGTTCTGCACCATCCCTCCTCTGCTGCGCATTGTCACTCCACCCCAAGGAATACAAAGCCAGAGATGCAAGCCTTAAATATGTACCAGCCCTTGTTTCTGTACAAACAGGAGTTGAAACGTTCCAGAAGAGGATGATTTTCTTAATTATGTGCAATGTATCAATATAATAAAAATCGGTAATTTTGCTATGTTATATATATTTTATTCCTTTCATAACCATGTTTCTTTTAACTGAGTTTTAAAATTTGTCTTTAATATTCTCTGAGGAAATTCATGTCTTCTTTACTAGTCAGGAAACAATTCCGTTCCATTTAATGTAGCATCTCAGATGGCTGATGTCTGCTCTACACTTGAAAAATGAATGTGGATTTGTTTGGATTTAACATTAATGGTTGCAGGTCACACTGCAGAAATCACTGCTTTGCAAAGTTAAGGATAAACGTTGAAGAGCTGATAACAATAATAATTATAATTCTAATCTTTCTTCAGCCACCTGTGCAAAAATAAACACCATACACTGTGTTACTGGATTCCCTACTATTTATTCCTGTTTTCCCATCTAGCACCACTGGAAAGCATAAAGTTGGATATTTTAACAACCAATATTCTTCAGTATTCTTCAGTTATAGAGGTCAATCCATCATTTTAAATAATTATCTGGAGAACGGTTCAAACCGTGAGGAATTTTTGCTCGAGTCTGCCTTTTCTGCGCAGGGAGAGAAGAGAACGCGTGTGTGTGCGTGCACGCGTGCAAAGGCGGCGCAGTAACATGCAGGGATGCCACGGTTCACATGGCATCTGCCTGGGACCTGTCCCCTGGAACTTACTCTACCAACCCCAACTCCCAAGCATCCCCAAATGCCCGAAAATGTGAACCAACCCGGCAAGGTGGGGACATGTGCGTGGGCTGAGGGGAGGGAAGGGGCAGCTGCGAGGGGCTGACTCCATTCCCCACTTGAGCTGCACGCGGTTTTGTGTGACCTGGAGGATTTCACAATCCCTGTGCCTCTCTTCTGCAGCTGTAACACGGGAATAATAACGCTTCCTCCCCTTTCTCTGCTTCCTACTCTGCTTTTGGCACACGGCTAATACAAGAGGGCTTGATCTCAGTTGGAATCTATCAGTGCTACTGACATGTTAATAATACCAGCAGAAACGTTTCCTCTTTCCTTTGCACTGACAAAGCTCTGCATGGGGTAGAGGCTCCCAACATGTCAGCCCAGAGCGTATTCACTTTCAACCCCAAATCTGAGGCATTTTCCGGAGACAAGACAGAGAGGATACAAGATTCAGACTGACTTTCAGGATTTTAAACAGGGAGAAGTAGTCATAACATGCTTCAGTTTGATGGCCCTCCAGTTATTGCATAAAAAAACCTCTGAAATATCCTCAGCCTCTTGGCTGCTTGCACGGCATAAAACCTTGTGCGGTTGAGTCAGGGTTTCGATGATTTTCTGTCTAGAAGCTCCTCTGGTAGATGTCAGGTCCTGGAGAGGACAGGCAGAATTGAAGTGTGTTGCCTCGGCAACACGGATGTAATTGAGGGGATTTTGTGTCTTGAAGGAAAACCCCAAAGTTAATGCCAGTTTCTATAAAAGCTGTCCGAGGTCAGGCACCCAGAGCGACCCGGGGAGAGCTCACTCCAGGACTCGGGATCCCGCTGCCTCGGCTCTGCCCGGGAGTCACCCGGTAGTGGGTTGGTTTCCCGCAGAGGAAGCCTGAGAAAGTCTGAGGATAAAATAAGGTTGCAGAAAGTTTTTCTAAAGAGGACTTGAGATTAATGTTTTTGCCCTGAGTTTGAAAATCTCTTTCCTTATTGCTTGCAGTCATATAAAAACATCTCCCTAGTTGCCCTAGCTTTTACACAATTGATAATTTATAAATCTCTAATGACTTAGAAAATTTCTTGAAGTTTTCCAATAATAATAAATATGTTTATTCAAGCAGATTAGATCATATTAATCTGTTTAAGCGCTGCTGATAGCTGTATTATCTCCTTTTTAGTAGAACTGAAGTTAAAGCTCTGTAAATAGTTTAAAAATACACAAATGCTACTCTAGCAGAGGCTAAAACCAAAGACTCAAAATGCAATTTGGCTTTCACAGCTGTTGCCAGCCTCGAATGTCAATACCCGAGGAGAGGCGACAAACTCACACTCTGTCTGTGTTTTCCTTCTTGTGTACAGCATCGATGGGCTCTGCGGGGCGCAAAACATGAGGTGTAGCAGCATAACTCATGTACAAACCGTTACTATTTGTTATTGGTGAGGCTGAGGCATGCAAGCCAGCGAAGGAAATAGCTGGCACATCTTCATTAATTCCTTCTGGTTCTAAAGTAGCTTTCAGGAAATAATTCTCCAAGACCTTGGCTACACACACAGCGTATTTATTCGGAGTTGGCAGGGGCACCAGAAACCATATAGCTCATAAAGCTCTCGTTTCTTTGGATCCTGAAGGTGTTTATCAAAAATGATTTTTAGACAGATTAGAGCCACACACATACATGGTACCAGTCCTACAACACTCACTGGTGTCTTCAAGCACTTTAGGTTTAATCAAAACCCCCATCCACCCTATGAATAAGTGTCAGAAGTTCCCCAATGGCATTAAGGGTTATTTTGAGAATGGTGAGCCATCCACCTTAGCATGTCAAATGAATGTTGGTGAACATTTTTCTTCAGGTGATTTGAATATAACTATTATATTTTCTTCCTAATTGTGACTATTTGACTTGCGACCTCAGGGATACTTTCTTGTTGCTTTGAGATCTAGTCGTGACTAAACCCAGAAGTTTAGATATATGTTCAGACTTTTTTATCTGAAAAATAGACTGCAAATCTTGAATATCAGTCTCTCTCATGAGATGTCCTGATTTCATGCATTACAGCAGGGCCAGAAATAACATGAGAACAGCTTTTCTCACAGTATTTCGGTAGTTCTTTTCTGGCCATTGCCAAAAGCAGGATGTGAAGACATGCATGAACATTAAAGCAAACTCTTATTAGAATAGTTCAAGTTCCTTTTGCATTGTGGTAAAAATTTGTGTCAATTTTTATTCTATTCAGACTATTTCAACCCTTTCAGTACTTCAAAAATCCGTCAGTGTTTTTTCTTAATAAATCATTCTGCTAGTTTAAATGTGATTTGTGGGTTTTCATCTTTTTCCTTTTTTTTTTAAACACAGGCCAAGAATATGACAAAGTGCTCAGAGCCAAATTGCACATTTGATTGTACGCCTAAATGTTGGCTGTCCTGCTGGCTATCCCATTGGCTTTGCAAGCATTCCTCATTTGTGTAATATTAAGTATCCAGTGCGTGTTTGCTGGATTGGGAGAGAAGCTGCCCTCAGATGCCCGGGGCAGGACTGCAGCTGCCATCAGCGGGGACATGCCCCTGGGCATAAGGACAGAATCAGTTTCAGGTTTGCATAATTAAATTGTTTCCTTCAAAGCTGTCAACAAATTCAGGTGCCCGTCACCTCACAGCGTTTCCACAAAGTAGCAAAACGGTATAAAGTTACCTGCGTCGGCTGCCAGGGTAAATACTGGGAGTAAGTGCGAGCACAAAGCCAGGTCACAGCCTGCTCCCGCGTGCAGCTGCGGTGCGGGACGTGCCTGGGGCAGGCAGCGCTGGCAGGGCCGGGGCACATCGTGGTGCTGCGCCTGCTCCATCCCGGCAGTGCCCGTAATGGTACTTACGGCACCCTCGTGAAGTGCTCCTGCTTTTCAGAGCAATAGTCTGACCGTGTGCTCTGCCCAGATAGTGGCTTGGCCCTTGCTGGAGCGAGGATCTCCACCTGCACGGGAGTTGTGGTGGCATCAGCCAGGCTTATGGTCCTTCTCTGCAGAGCGAGGCTTTCCAGATCTCTGAATGTGGGTGCTTCCCAGGGCGCAGCGGAGGTCAGTGAAGCCTTACTGAACTTTGCGTTCTCCATCAGGTTGACGCAAGACAGCCTGTTCTAAAAGACCAGGGCAACCCTTCCTTGCTGATGTTTCCTCTTCCCCAGTTCAGTAAGGAAAGAAACGTGGGGATGTGGTGAGAAGCTTGTCCACACAGCACCTGCAGGGGTACCTTGCTGCCACTGGCAGGCTTTTTCTGATGAGGAGCCAGGCACCTCGCCCATAAACTAGGTTGTTCAACCAGAGGGAAAGTGAACAGCCCAGGACTGCAGTGAAAGCCCAGATCTTCTCAACTGATCTGTTTGCTACCTGCTAACCTCGCATCACCATATATAAAACCAGGTGGTTGGCTCAGGCACTTGCTCTTCTTAGGAAAGTTGTCACCCTGTCAGGTCCTGGGTGGAGTGGGTCAAGGCACGGTTACACGTAGAGAGGAGACCTCTACTTTTCTGCTGAGACTCTCCCTGAGGACAGGTGAGGTATCAGTGACTTACTCCAGATGGGTGAATCAGAGCGTGAAAATAGCTGCCTGGCACGCCACGAGCTGCCAGGCAGTTCAGGCTTTGTGGATCCAGCCCCGGGATTATGAACCCTAGAATCCCAGATCGAAAGGGGACTTCAGGAACAGCTGAATCCTAGTAGAGGGTTTTGCTGTTTGCCTTTTTCCAGCCAATAACAGGGCTAAAACCACCTGGCTACAAACTATTGGAGTTGAAAATTGACCTCCTTCTCAACATTTGTTGAACCTCCTTCAGGGGCCTCTAATATCTGCGTCCATGGGTTGGGATGCAGATATCTGGGGAGGAATAGATTGCCTTCTGCAGTGCACAACTGACACACTGCTGGGTTTTTTTTTAGGAAGCCCTTGAGGAAGACACGCTCAATAGCTGCTGGGCCTCCTTGTAGTTCAGTGAACACAACTGTGAGACCTTTTTCAATGTTGTCTGAGCCACTGTCCTGTAAAAGGCTGTGACTGAGGTGCCTGCGCCCGCGTGGAACACTCTCTCCAAAAAAAAGGCACTTTGATTCGTGCCTGTGTTTATGTGGGAGACTCTCCATGGATTGAGCCATAAGGTCCCAGTTAAGGTAATTCTGTCTGGCAGCAGCACTAGATAGTTTGCAACGAACATTTACAAACCAGCCAAGGAATATGATTTCTTAGACAAAAGATCCAGCTTTTTAAGGTTCTTACCCATGGAGCTGCTTCAAGCAGTCCTCGTGCCTTGGTCCTCCCTTGGATGGACTCCGCAGCCCTGGACCAGGTGGCTGATAATACAGAAATGCTGAAAATGCCTGGAAAGGACACAGTCGTGTCAATTGTCTCCAATGAAGGTAGCAGTCACAAACACATGGGTTTGCCAAAAGTCTCTGGCTAGCTCCAAGAAGCTTTCGTTTGTTTGCATTGCTAATCTACCAGAGACTGAGACTGCTCGGAGAGATATCAAGCCTTTTGTAAGCTTTCTTTCACCCTGCTTCTGGTGGGATCTGCAGGACAGCAGCCATCTGAGAAGGTTTTGGGAGACTGCACAGTTATCAGACTGAGACAGAAGGAAATCGTCTGAGCTGGAGGCAAGGCAGCCCATGGAGCTAAATGCACATTTTCATTTTTCAAGTCCTCTTGCTTCCCCCGTGGCTCAGCTGCTTGTCAGGGCAGCCTGTCTGGACAGGCTGGAGGGATGCCCTGCTGAGGTTGCATGCCCATGAACTCCAGTGAATGCCATGACACGAAGAGGGCATTTGACTCACAGATCGTGTTGGGATCACCCACTGAAGGAAAAATTTCTGTAAGGTTTTTTGGAGCTCGCTTCTCGTAGCAGAGTGAGGAGGGGAATCTGTATCAACACATACTTTCAAGCGTTTATGGAAAGGGGAGCAGCATGAAGGTAGTATATGATGTATAGGGCACATGCCCTTTTCCTGAGTAGAAGCAGCACTTTCATATGCCTTGTTGGCTGGAATGATTCCCCAAAAGACGGGTTGTCTTTGGATCCTGACAGCCTAGGTTGCCATCCCACCATGCAGCATCCCAAAATCTGCGTTTATCAAGATGAGAAACTAAATCAACTTTCTTTGTTTCTTAACAAAGTCCTTCCTTAATAAATCTTTCTTTCCAGCTCGTTCCCTTCCACGCAGTGATGTGACTGAGCAGCACCTCTCCCTGCAGATGAGGATGCAGCTGTGCTCGCATGGACCCTGCAGCAAAGAGCAAGGTGAGAAACGGGGTGCGTGAGCGCAGTTGTGCTGCCCCGGTGCTCCCAGGGCTGGAGCACATCGGGTACCTGCACACCAGGGGCAGATGCGGGAATCACTGGGAGTGACTCCTGCATCCCTCCCTTTAGATTTTCCTTGGGCAGGAATGATATCCTACAACCCATCTTTGGATTTTCGCACTGTGTCCTATTGCCCAGAGCTGCCCAAGGGCACTAACTGTTCCTGGTCACAGCAGGCTGGGTTGGCAGCACACCCTCAGCTGCCAGGAACTTTCCAGAGGCAGCTTCCAGCCCCCTTCGGCTCACCCTGAGCTGTTTTGCCATCACTTTCTTTGCAGTTATTCAAGACATGTTTGCCCAAATCACACTTGCTACTGGCCAATGCAAAATGTTACCTGCCCCGGCGCAGTGAGATTTCACCAACTTTTCTGCAAAACTTACTGATTAAAACCCTGAAGGAGTACCTGAAGGTGGCAGCCACTTTTTGTAACTGAATTCCCTCCACATTCTTATTACTTTGTAAAACTGCTATTAGTTGATTATAGAAGCACAACTTGTTACTTCGTTGGCCCGTTTCGTTTTAGAGAAGCAAATCTGGTGGACTTCTGACAATTGCTAACTTTCTCATTGGATTAAGTTCTTAGACAGTTCTATTGTTTCATTCTGCAGGGTTTTCCAGGGTTTTCTTTGGCTGAGTCAGTCTTTTTAAACTGCCACTTAGATTTGCTATGAAAATATATGCCTCTGCGTGCAGTGCACAGCCACCGGGCGCACGGTGGAAGCCCTGAGCCCAGGCTGCCTATCAAGCCTGTGCCTGGCACTGCAGGATGCCTACAGATCTCCAGCGGAGCCCATGGCAGTGGGAAACCTCATGGAGAAGCTCTGTGCCTGATCTCAGCCCTCTAAGGGACATAGGCACTTATTTCAGATTGCAAAGAGATGCTTTACAGCCCTAAAGCTGCTTCTGGAGTTGAGCATTTTGGCCAGCACTTTCTGAAGCCCCACCAACACAGCTGCATTTTGTCCTAGTTGTAACGGTTATCCTTGATGTGGAATAGCTGTCCCCAGGCCACGAGGGTCCTCTCTCTCATTGCCTTTCTCTGATGGAGACTCTCTGAGACGTGCAGAGTGTCTGAGGATGCTGCAGGGCACTTGAGCCTGCATTTCCCATCTCCCAGAGCAAGGATGTACGTGGTAGAGTATCAACTATTTTCCTCTTAAAGCTGAAATATATTTCCGTTCTTTAGCATGGTGTGTGTGGATGTGGCAGTCATGTAGAAGAGACACGCGATTCAAATTCAGTTCTAGTGAAAGTTAAAGTGGTTTCTATTACACATTCCTACAAAGTTCAGAACAGATTAAGTGGTAATTAGATATCAGTAATTGCCAGTGGAACAAAAATCATAACAGATCTCAGTAACTGTGCTGATTTAGAAATGTCGACAATAATGAGTCTACACTGGTACTTGTAGAGCCTTAAGACTGGTGAAAACAAGCATGTCCACACAACAGAAGTGTCTTAAAGATATGTAAAAATCTGAAAAGCAACGCGGAGGGACTGAAAAGAGTTTTGTTTTGGGTTTGGTTTTGTTTTTTTTTTTAATGCTGAGTTTGGAAAGAATTAGGCCTCCGTTTCTTCAGAGAAATCACTCCTCTTTGTTTTGTACCTCTTCACGCCACATCAGATTCAGTGCTTGGCAGTCACCTATATTCCTTAGTTGCTGCGCTGAAAAACATTCACCTAGTCATTACATTCTGGGAAGCATACCAAGGCTGGCCCACAGATGTCCGCTTCTCCAAATATTTTTCCTTTAACATGACACCCCACCACAGACAGTTGTGGAACGGGTTGGAAGGAGGCATCAATCTGACCATAACTTCTGCTTCTGAACATATTTTGCCCCTCATCTGCAAGTGCACATGGCATATTTCTCTCCAAGAGTTGCTCCAGCTCCGCTTTGAATATTTTCCTGCCTAACCTCACGCAGGGGTAAGGACTAGGTAGTCTGCTCTCCAAATGGTGTAATTGAAAAAGAAAGTCAGCCGAAAGTGAGTTCAGTGAAGGTCTGCAGAGCAAGACTGGCAGCCACGGGGACAAGAATTCTGCATACACTGGGTGAACGCAGCACAAAAAGTGGCAACCCTAGAGCCCCTGCACTATCACACCCTTGGTGACCAAGCGTAATCAAGGACGGTGTGGCTTTGGTTATCAGATTGAAGCAACACTGATCTCTTCTCTCAGAACATTAGGAGCTGTTTTTCCTTTGGGCTGGTTGCCCCCTGGAAAATGGGCAGAGAAGACCCACTGGTTTAATACATGGTTTCGTCCTCCAGTGGGTCTCAGCTTGGCCCTAATCAACCCCAGTCCCATAACCGAATTTACTAAACCTGACCACCAGCCTCCTTCTCTTCTTTCTTTTCACTTTTTGAGTGTCTGTTTGTCCCAGTATGGGTTCCCCCACCCTTCCGTCATTGGAAGGTTTAATGCTGAGTGAAAAACCACGAACAGCCTTTGAACGTGTTCTGCCAAGTCTCTTTACAGTACAATACTGGCAGGAGTAA